CACGGGGCCCCTCAGCCTCCCAGCATCACGGCGGAGCCCGGGGCAAACACGTGAACCGCCACCACCTGACCCGGACCCTCTCGTCCCACCGTGACGAAGGCGCGCACAGCAGCAGCTCGGCTTTGCCTGCCCAGGCGTCCCCACGCAGACACCCTCCCCATCTAAGCATTTCCAAGCACCGCCTAGCCAAGCTGCTGGTGTAAACTTGGCCAGTCCACCCGCTCCAGGCTCTGGTCTTTCCACCAGGCCCGTCCCAGCACCAGTTTGGCTGCTACAGATTCTCTTTGCTAACAGGAGACCAAGACCAAGGCAGTTTGCTCTGCCTGCCAGCAGTCCCCTGAGAACCCTCAGGATCCATCTGTACATCGGCAGGAGAACCTGCGTGCTCTCCCTGCCTCGCCTGCCTGGCCTCCCTCCTGGGCTGCAGCATTTCCAACCTCCTGCTCCTTCAGCTGCTGAGGGAGGAAGACCAAAGGAAGGCAGAGCTGCGTGTCTTTGCACAAGGCACAGCTGTAAAATAATACAAGCCCGTGCTTTTACTAGAGAAATGTGAGTCTAATTAATAAAGCTGCACTGGCTACCACACAGGAATGCTTGCTGAGCACCTGTAGGCATAAACAGGAATATAAACTTTCACAAATACGGCTCAAATCAGAAACAAATGGGTGATTGTCTTTTACAAAGAGCTCTCCCAACCTGGAACACTTGCAGTGCTGTTGGAGGGCAGCAGGCTGTAACTCTATCAGCCCCTTCCCCGACCAGAAAAACCTTCCCCGTGTTATGAGGCAGGTGCCACTGAATTATGAAAACTCGCTTTATTTCAGCCTCCCCGCTCAGCCCACGATCTGGAGGTTTGCAAAACATTTCCCCTGCAGGAGTTCTAATAACGCCTTTCTCAGCCACCGTAATTAGCTGTTTACCCCCCAAACATTACTTTTTTGGCACGGCTCTCACAATGACCTCACTCACTTTCCATGCAGGAAAATTTCATGTTTGGGAAATTGGATTATTGGAGGATTTACTTTTCTTTAACAGTGAAAGTGGCGCTCAGCCTTGCTGAACAGCTGCTGCGGCGCGGCGAAGGGGCGGCAGGAGGAAGGCTGCCTTCGTGGGCGGACTCCTCCTCCAGCTCGGCCGCTTCTCCAGCTCTGCGGCGGCCACCGGCAGGACCGGCCGGGCTGGGTCAGAGCAGCAGCTGGCGAGTCTTCTCGTATGTCCCCAGGAAGATGAAGCCTCCCAGGCTGATGGCTGCCATCCGTGGGACAACACCTGCGAACAAGCTGAAGGAGAGGGAAAGGGGATTTCAGAGGATGAGCGGAGAACGGATGCTGCACGACTGGCTGCAGGGCTTCGGAAAACAAAGCCAAGAAAAATTCTCTCTTGCTGGTTTCTTAAATCCCAACCCGCTGCTCACTGAAGGAACCTGTCTGGGCTTCCCTAACAGAACACTCCCAAGCCTTGTGGTTTTTAACCCCTCTCCGCACTCATCAGGAGCAGAAGCAAAGGTGCAGGAGGCTTCGGGCCACGTTGCAGAAAGAGGAGCTCAGCCGCATCCCCACGAAGGGCTGCAGACAGATGGGGAGCGTCCCATCCTCCGTTGCCCCCACCCAGCCTCGGCAGGGGGACCCCCTCTCTCTGCCAGGAGCTCCCCACCACAGACACAGCCCTGCTCACCCCAGCGGCTGTCCCAGTAACACCCAACGGGGGCCAGCAGGGAGGGAGCAGGAACGGCTGTGCACCCAGTCGCCACGCTTTCTAGGTGCCTGATCCTAATAGTTCTTGGAAGTTAACAGGAAACTCGTGCAAAGCCAACTGCTCGACACATCTAAGCTCATAGTTGGTTTAACAACGTCAGGACAGGCCAGTGTATCCTCCCAGAGGATTACAGGCTTCCTTCGTTGCAAGCAAGGATTAAACATTAGGCTCGAATTTGTTTGGCATCCCCCCGCTGATCTATCGCCCGCACGGCGGGAGCCCTTCGCAGCACTCTCTGGCTGAGCTCCGCAGGGACGCTGCCCTCAGCTTTTTCCAAACACTGCGTGGTCCCTGCTAGGAGCGTGTCCACAGTGGGACAAGGTGTAATTCCCGGTGAGACCGGGCTGCGGGGAAGATGCACGCAGCCCCAGGGCTGCTCAGGAGCTCTCTGCTCCCTGCCTGCGCCCGGCGACTCACGCTGCGCTGGGGAAACCTCTGGCTGCAGTAACTCTGGTTTTCGTTGTAATGAGCTTTGCTAAGGAGCCTGGAGCACACAGGCAGATGGAAACATTTTATGGCTTTACTAGACAGCAATTGGGTCTATTACCATAATGACAGCTTTAAAACAGAGTAATTTGTACAAGGCATGTATGGACAGAGCGCTGATAGGGTAAATCCTACGGTGCAGCATGGCTCTCGAAACGCGCACCATCCTTCTCCTGCCAAATTAGGCAGCCCTCATTACAGGGGCAGTGGCAGACATTCATTTACGGAACAGCCCACTTGAGACACAGCTATTACACAAACAAGGGCAGATAACTGAGTTACCCAGAAGCTGCATCCCTGGCAACCTCTATTACTAACCATCACTTCCAAGAATCCTGGCCCGGCTCCCCCCAAGCTTCCCTTTCCCCCCTGCCAGCCACGGCCCCTCCAATCCACGCTTCCCTCAGGGGCTTGCTCCCGCAGGAAGGGAGAACCGAACGCCTCCCAGGCTGCCCCGAAGCTGGAGAGCTGAGCTCTGCTGCAGGCCTGACCCAACCCAGTCCCCGCTGGGCCACACCAGCCCTCATCAGCAGATGAGATAAATTGGTTTTGGCTTTTTCTGCTGGCCTCGTCAGAAACCCCTCTGGTGGGCAGAGGTCTGCTGTCTATTTGCATGTGCTATCCGTTTGTACAAATTTCACCTGGCACCCTGCCGCTCCTCTCTCCCTGCCTGGGTTTTCCCTTCTGCTTAAGCAACTCTCCCAGTTACTGGTTGGATCCAGCACCAAGGGCTGGAGGGCTTCACCCCCGCCTTCTCACCACCGACAGCGGCAATAAAGCACAGCGTGTCACTGACTGGCAAAGACCAGGCGCAGGCTTTCAGGTACAGACACATCGCACCCTCCCCAGCCGTGCGAGGAGCTGCTTGGCAGGAGTCACAAATCTGGGAATCACATTTAACTCCCAGGGTGTTAAACCCACACTGTGTGCCCCCCCCAACCGTGCACACTCCCTCTGGGGTGCAGCTCTTGTTTCAGGGTTGCCAGCCCAGCAATACACCCAGTCCCATGGTTCCAGCAGCAAAGGTGACATTTTTGGACCACAACCCAAAGAAACCCAAGGCAAATATAGAGACTAACCAGGACCCCCGAAGTTACCCCTTGGAAAAGGCACTGCAGAGCCTGGACACAGCGCAGAGGGGCCAGGCTGAAAAAGGCGCTGCGTACTGGGCCACAAAACCTCCATATTACGCTCCAGAACAAAGAGGTGGCCATGCGGAGAGAAAACACCACTTTTACCTGACTACAGCTTTGCACTGAGCTCACTCCTGCGAGCACCTTGTGTTTCGCAAAGCAGCAAGCCCCAGGTACCGGGGCTCCTTTTGCCACCCGCGTTGGTGAGATCCAGCTCCGGAGAGTCGTGTGGTTCGCACCCACCATGGCACATCCACTCTGCCCAGGAAGCTCGGCCGAGGAACGGCACAGCTGGGGCAAACTGCCAGCTCTGACCCCATCTACGCACCAGCCGGCACAAGGCACCTCACCAGATTTATCAGTCAAATTACCCCCGTCTTTCTCACCAGTGAGTTGTGAAGTTTCATCCACAGCTTTCAAATGCCACCACCTCCTTACGTGGAAAGCAGTCGGACAAGACGCAAACCTGCTTTCGTGGGAATGGCTCCTCTACCCGGCTGGCAAGAGCGAAGAGGCACACAGATCCGCTCACCCCATCCCTATCCAACCTCCCGCTGCAGGCCTGGCTCTCCCCAGACAGAAAGGGATGTGAAATTTCTTGGCGCGAAGCAGAGGGATTTACTAGGTGCAGACCAGGAAGCTGAGCCCTGCGCTCTGGTTTTAATAAGGTGGCAATAAGCAATGCGTCTTTCTGCCCTCAGAATTCCTCCTCTTCAACTACGAGATTTATTAGAGGAGCCATAAATCATTTCATGTTGCAACTGGCCAAAAAAGCCCGACATTTTTATTGTTTTTGATTAATAGATTCATAATTGGCAGCAGGCATGGCAGCCTCTGCGTTTATTTTTCCCAAGACTTTTTTCCTTTTCCTTGCAGCTGACGCAGCTTGGCCTCCTTTACATGTTACTTTTTCTCCAGATCGCTTACTGTTTTGATTTCAATTGAATTGTGTTCCCTTTGGTCCTAGTCCACGGGTACTATCTTTAGGCAGAGTTTAATTTTGGGTTGTTTAGAAAAGGGCACTGCTGAAACACCCTGAAAAGAACACAAACATACATTTTTATTTTCCGCTGTTGGCTGGGGAAAAGGGGAGGTTTCCCCAGCCAAATCCATGCCTCTTCACAACCTTCAGAGTTCAACTGCCATCAGCAGCAGATGCGGCCTCACTTCTCCCCGTCCCTTTCAAAACACGCCCTAGAGTCCACCAAGCCATGTAGGACCCAAAACTCATCCACCGCCGCATCACCTTGTCACCTCAAAGAGCCAACCTGAGACAACCCATCTCTGAGCGCTGCCGGGGGGCACAGCTGGACGTCTTCCTGGAATCGGTGTTCAGGAACTTCCTGCAATTTGTTTTGAATTATTTCCCACATGTGTCGAAACAGGATTGAACTTTTATTAGTTGCGCGAGCAGAGATCAGATGTTAAGAGAAAACTATCTCCCGCAAAGCTGCGATGTGCATGCTGCTTCGAGCAACAGTTTACAAATGTTAAAACATCACCCTGAAAGTACCGGCCACATCAAGTGGATTAAAAACCTATGAGAAATACAGTGAGAAGTCCCAAGTAAAGCTTAAAAACCCCTCAATTTCTCTTCCAGGCCAAGGGTAGGTGGGACACAAAGCCTACCTAAGGAAGCACAGGCTAAACCTCACGGACAGAGGAGTTGTTTAAGATGTATATTCACTACAAGTGGCCAGTAGCTGGTATGAGTCGCACACTCAAAGAGGGCAAGGTAGTATAAATGAAGCAGGTGTCTGTAAAAATCAATAATAATTTATAAGCTTCTGACACCTCAAAATGTTCTAAAAATGCTGGCAGAGGACATTTTATTCACAACACCGCTCCAAGGTCAGAAGAGCAATTCTCCATCTCAGGACCGGGTAAAGGGAGGCAGCTAAGAGACTGGATGGGCATCACCCCAGGCTGCCCCGACCAGCCAGCAGAACACCCAGAACGTCTACACCCCAGTCACAGGAGGTAAGAAGCCAGAGAGCTGCGCTGCAGCTGCTCAGACTTACTCTTTGCCCTCAAGCCTGTCTCAGAAAACTTACATTTTTGCAGCAAGTGCCTCACTGGAGAAATCCAACCGGGCATGTGCTCGAGCCCAGACCTGACGGGAGGCTCAAAGGACAAGTCAGGGAGCACACGGCTCCCTTCCTTCTGCTTCAGCTTATCCCTGCCACCGGCACCACACTGGTATCGCATGCTCCCATCACGCTTCACAGTAAGAACAGCAAATATAAAGGAGCAGAGGAGACAGAGGTGTTTTCAGATGAGCAGGAAATTGCCAGGAGGAGGAGAAGACACGTGGCTCCTATACTGGCCTTCCCTGACGTCTGCGGAGGGGTGATTCGCACACCTCAAGATCAATCTGTGGCACTCACTGCCACAAGACAATGTGCACGCCCAAACTTTAAATGGATGCAAAACACAATTCATGGAGAAAAGTCCATTAAACACAAAGCCACCCTCACCTCCGAAGCCTGGAGCTAAGCTTAGAGATTGTACCATGGATAAAACCCCAATAATGCCCTGTTTCTGTGCTCTTCCCTGGACTTTGCTCGCTGCCAGTGCTAAAGTGAGGACACCAGACCTCCCTGGAGGGACCTTCTTGTTCCTAGCTACCTGAGAGCTGCTCCCTGGCCATGCATAGAGCAACTGAAAGTCTTTTCTGTATGACAGGATTTAAATATAAGCAGACCATCCCATCCTCTCCCGCCCCTCAACACAGAGAAACAACACGTGAAATGTGCTTCTGCAGCATGTCCTTACCCCGACAGGCCTTGTGTCCTCCAGATGCCACCGAGGGCGGCCAGAACGTTCCCACTAGCGTTGCTGGAACCAGCCTGCACCACAGAAAGAGAGAGATTTGGAACTGTTGGCAGAGAGGTTTAGTTATTTACTGAGCCCCCTGTCTCTGGTTAGTGCTACTTTACAGCGAGTACAGACATCCTAATGACCTCCCTACACCAGGCACAGGCAAAAGCTCCTTGTCTCCAGGAATAAGGCAAAGGGCAGAAAGGGGAACCGAGGCACAGCAGAACAAAATGATCACTCCAAGGTCACAGAGTTAGTTAGTTCAGAACTGGCTATCCAGTCCTCACTACACTCAGCTCTACATCCAGCTGACACTGGAATGAGAATTTAATCAAAACACACTCTCAAAGCACCAACAAGAAACTTTGCTGCTCACTGCGAGAGGATTTACTTGACATTTACTTAAAAAACCACAGGTAGTGTATTGTATGTGAAAATTGCCTTGAGAGCAAAACAGAGGACAAACAGCAGGACTACAGGCAATTAAATTACATGTATGATCTCGTTAGTGAGAGATGACTAATATAAAGATGCTGTCTGAATGGTCTCAGAACATCCCAAAGCACTGCCATTCCCTTACCAATGCTGACCTGGGTGCTCAGTGCAGCGGCAGACAGAAATGAAACCCAGTTCTTACAGTTTTATCACCCACGCTACCCAAAGGCAAAGAAGCTGGAGCAGGTACGGCACCCAGCAATGAGATACACAACACAGCAACACGGTGAGTGCAGGTATGCGTGACTCGGCTGGGGAGGTGCATGTCATCAACAAGAAACATCCCCATACTGAGGGACATGGGCAACAGAGCAAAAACCATCCACAGAAACTCCGGGATGCCTGACCTTGGCCAACACAGCAGCTCTTTTCAGGGCAGGGTAAAGGCCAAGGGCTTTTAGCTGTGTGGCTGCTTAGCTCTGCTCTGGGGCAGCAAGATGATGACAGGAACACTAGACTTACTGGCAATTTAACTACTTACTAAACTTACTGATTGTATAAGCAGTCTTCCTTCTGCCCTGGTTGGCAGACATAAGTCATCATGATCTCTGTGCCTTAAAATCTTAGGACAGAAAATCCAGTGCCAAGCCCTCCTCAGAAAAGACACACACACACACACACTCAAGTCCAACTATTATCAAAAAACCAGAGGAATAAATCCCTGATGGGAAGTTTAACTTGGGCATCTGGCTTCACGATGATTTTCTCCTAAAGACACTACATAAGACTCAAAGTCTAGCACAAGCACAGGCCCTTCTCAGCTCCTTTGGGAAAGGACCAGAAGAGCAATACAAGAGAGGAACACAACAATTTCATTAGTTCTGCATGCAGTACCTGTTCACATCTAATCCTGCCTTCGAGGACAAGAGCAGAAATGATTTAATTATTAATAGCTGCTGGATTTCATTCTGTAATGACCATAGAGAAACCCTGGAAATACCCGAGCCATTCACCTGCATGTCTGCTGGCCCCCTTTGCTCTTACCTTTGCCAACATAATTCTCGTCTTCGCTACATCGAGAGGTGTGGTGACTGCAGCTGCAAATCCACCTGAGCAAATTAAAATACCAAACACAAGTAAGACATTGTTGGTTGAATATGAATGCCACACTGCCTATAATTCCCATGGCTGTGGTCAACACTGCCATTAATGCCTACAGCATGTTTCCTCACGTCAGAGTCCAGGTACGCTTGTTGAAGGTCTGTACACAGAGTGTTTTATTCCTGTTTGTTGACTTAAGTAAAACAGCTCTATACTAGTTAACTGTAAATCCAAGCATCCCCACTGAGATTACTGTCCTTTTGTTTTGGACTCTGTATATATATGAACATAGGAAGGTCATAAGGATAATGGATTCCACTTCCAACACCTATGGACAAGTTTGAAAGGAAGAACCTGCATTTGCAGAGATTGGAAAATAAGCTCGTCACACTGTGCTCTGCCTTGAAAATTAAAGCCCAACCATTCAAATGCTAGAAAGATAGAAAGAGAGGAAAGATGCTCTGCATCCGAAACACACGTGCTTCAGGGGCAAAGCTACCCACAAGGTACAGACAGACTGGATCTGGACTTCAACTGTTAGACCTGGGACTTTTTTTCAAGGAAACAAGACAAGCCAGTGTTTGCGATGGAGCCCATCTCCAACAAATGAAATCAGCTCCATTTTGGATAACAACAACGTGAAGCTGCCCAAGGGTCTTTGGAAATTGTCAGCAGTCTGCTGCCACAAGTGCCATCTTCCCCTCACGGGCATTTTTATCATCTCTAATCACTCCCAAACTTCACCCTTGGAGCTCATTACTTTCACTTGGAGCAGCCAGCTCAGCTGGGGCTTTCCTCCTGAAAGCCAGAAATCTTCAGCTTATCCATCTGCACATCTCACCCACAAACGTGTGTGTGTCTGTCTCCATATTTTAACCCTGTGGCTACAGCCTGGCCTCCTGTGCTATCTAGGGACCAGCTTTGCTGCTTTTTCTCCCAGGATCTTATTCCCTTTGCCTTATTTCCCCATCCTAAAATTAAGTCTAGTTTCTCTCCCCCTCCTCTGTTCACAATATTTCAAGCAAGTAATTCATGCTGAGGAAGAGCCAAAGTGAAGGGAACTTTTCAAATGCAGGAGCAGCCCAGCAGTAAGTGAAGAAAAAGGGGGGAAGAAAAGAGAGAGACTTGTTCTGAAATTCCTCTTTCTTCCTCCTGTTTTTTTTCTCTGGAGCTCATATAAATCCTTATCTGCTACAGTAGGGAACAAAGTGACTCCAAAGACTGAAGCCTACACAGTACCCAGGGAATAAGCTAAAAATAATCTATTTTCTGTTCCAAGTTTTATGGAATGTAGAAAAATTGATCTCTACTCAGGATGGGAGAGGGGAAAAGCATTTCTTCTGAGATTCGTAAAGTAATGAAAAAAATCCATCTTCCCCACTGGCTTATGTTTTTATGCATTTCTTTCTCTCAACCACCTTAGCTTTAACATATTAAACGCGTGCTTTATGTCAGAAAGGAGGCTGGGCCAGCTGGCACCCGACGCTGGCTTCTTACAGTTAATTAAGGCATGTCCCGTGACAGCTCAGGAGATGCAGTGAGGCACATGTGCAGTCCCCTGGATCTCGAACAAGACTAGCAGGCAAGCTGAGTTCGTGAACAGCCCAAACCGCCTGTTTTAGGAGCAGCTTCTGCTCACGTAAGGTTGGCCCATCGCGTTCACTCTGCCGGAAGCTTTCTAGCAGTGATACCTCACTAAAAAGCAGAAAAATGGGTTGTATTCAAGAAACCAAAGCAGAAACTATGAGCAAGTTAAACTAAATTCCAGCCCATTCCTGGACCTTCTTTAAGGTCAAAAATCTTTTTATTGAGAGCCAGTTTTTGAGTAAGTGACCTAAAGGCTTTGAGAGAATGGTCTGAACAGAAACTTTGGTACTAATGTCAGTGATGTATTTTTAGAACAGTAAAAATAATCTCCATGGAAAATAGTGGCTTTACAAGTCTGGATGTAGAAGCCCTTCCTTTGCCCACGGACCAAGATAAAATTAAACCGTGAACCACAGGGCTGTCAGGCCTGTATCAAGCAAAAAATCTCAATGCATCACTCAGCTATAGAGTTGATGGTAACACTTCAGTCAGGCAAATTTAACTGCCTTTTCAGACCCCAGTAACTTTTTAATACATTTGTTCCTAACAGTTTCATATTGGCACAAGCTTAAATCTTGGCCAGTAGAGTGATTAGAACAAACACAATTTATCCTGATACGATGTTCCCAAATTCTTATCTGAAAGGTTTAATCAAGACCAATAGGTTTTCATTTTTTCCCCAGCTAACATCTGGATCGTTCAGACTCTTTTCTTATTAACATTTCAACGTTTCTTTTTCCATCACTGGGGAGTATTTGGTACAGATTTACCAATCAGTTTAGAATGACAACGGCAACAATAAAATGCTTCATAAGCACAACAAGCAGCAGGATAGAGGCTGAATTAAATGCAAGTTCGTATATGCTTAACAAAACCCAAGATTAAAGCTAGCATTTGTTGGGAACTGCATTTTACTCAAGGCAGTAAGTCTGACAAAATGAATTTGCTCCAGCCTTAACCCTAAATGTCCAAGGTAATTTTTGAGTGACCTCTTTAACTTTAGCACACAGGTATCCACAAACAGCGCTAGCAAAGTACTGCTCAGTCCCAGCTCTTTCAGCTGGGTAAAGGAACATAAAACATGACTGTTGCCAATCATCAGATTAATACAACAGATACAAACTAGTGCAGCCGGAGTCTACTCATGCAAAATAGGAGGGCTGTGCACTGCACTGTCTAACACACAGTAAGGCCCAACAGATCTTTAAATCACTCCTTCAGTTTATTCCTGCTATCACTGAATTCTCCAAGAGCTGCCACATAAGGTGGGAGTCTGCTCAACTCTCAGCAACCAGGAAAAGCAGGTATCAAAGGTATCAGATGGGCAAGAAAGGCCCAGACACATCCAGCCATACACTCCTGATCATTCCGGCCTCTCTGCAGAGCTGATGGAGAAGGCGGCACCTGTGCAGGCAGCCTGCACCCAGACTCGCCAGCTCCCTCCCGGAGATGGCTCCTTTCTCCCTTGCCCTAGCAGGATCTGGTGATGACCTGGGCTCAGCAAATAGGCATAAAGATGGATTTTCACATGGGAGAAGGCTCTTGGCTTGTTAATACTTCTAGCAGAGTGACAAACTCCTCTACTGGGAAAATAAAACTTCACACAATAATGGAAAATTCATCACCTGCCTCCCAGGAAGTTACAATGGACACTGTATATTCACACGTCAGCTGAGCAGCTAAACTTTACCAGGCTCAGGGTGTCAAACAGAAAATCCCTCTGCTCCTCACGCTTTCCCAGTGACCAGGTCTTGATGGAAGTGCTAGTGACAGACATCTGCAGAGAATTATTTACCTTTTTTTGGCAATAAGAATAGAAAGTCTTGAAGTCTTAAGATATTCCCCTAGGTTCCTGCTGGCATTTCCTACCCCTTTTAGCTGTCACATGCAAATAAAAATTGAGAAGCATCAGAACAGAGTGAAACACTTCACCTGAGCACAATACATAACCCTAGGTCCTTGGAGTAGGGTGGCTGCCTGCAGAATTTGCTGTTGCTGCTGCTATAAAAAAATGTTTCATGGGTTCTTTGACACACTCCTCAAATAAGATCCTATGAAGGGGGGAAGAGAAGTTCTTCAGTCCCCGTATGTTTTTTTCCTGTACCATTTTAACTTCTCCTCACCCTTTCTAAAGGGTCCAGGGAACCCTTCTGGCCATCACAGGGGTTTCTCCTGATTCTGTGTTTCTGTCATCTGGCCAGACACCTGGCAGTCTCTTCTGCAGCACCAGCCCGGTT